CTGTAATGGCCTACGTGACTGGACAATATACTTTTATGGAGACTAGACTGCTTTTCAGGACCCTGGGTTCTGGGGGTGTGCCTAACTCCTGCCAGTTCTCACGAAGAGTCTCGGGGTTCTAGGCACCTGCCCAGCCATGAACCAGAATATTCTTACGCAGTCCCACATCCTCCCACACAGTTTGAGAAGCCCACTCTTTATCTCCTAAGGGACCCCATCTAAAGGAGGGGAGTGCATTTCAACAGTTAGACTGACCCTAGTTGGGGTCAGACATGCTAGCCCCATTGGTCTGTCTTCAGCTCTCAACTCCTGTAGCATCCATGTCTGCAAGGGGCTGACCTCAGCTCAGCTTGAGCAGTGCAGCAAGCCTGGGGGTTGGTTGGTGTTTGTTCCTATCCCTTGGCTTCAAATGAGATTTTCCTATCAATCTCCCAATGGAGGAATTGCTGCCATTGTCAAATCTGAAGCTGGATTGAGGTTTTTGGGAACTGTGGGCTTGTTGTGAGGGTGCAGCCTCTCTTCCCTGGGGCTGCCTGTGGATGTATTTTTGGTTTCTCCAGCCCACTTCTTTGCAACAAGTCCTATCAACACCTTTGTGGGTTTCTAAGGATCTTCCTCTCTTACTTTCTTTTAAGTAGTCTTTTTTTTTCCCTGATCTTTTTTTTTTCTCTTTTATTGATGCATAAAAGTGGCAGTTTTCAGCTTATCATTTTGCCTGGAATTCCCTTTTCCATTTTAAAAGGTTTTTTTTTTTCTTTTGTTTTTTTGTTTTTTATTTTTTAGATAATTGTTAAACACTTATTTTGTGTGTTTGCATGTGCAGGAGTGTGCACTTGTAAGGTTATTTATTGTGGTGGGCAGAGGACAACTTCAGGGATGGTTTTCTCTTCCTACCCGTATAGACTCCAGGAACAGACCTTGGGTTGTCAGGCTTGGTGGTACCCTTAGTGCTGACCCAGTTTTTAATTTTTTATTATTAAAACATTTTTTAAATTTAAACTATTTTTGTAATATACTTCTCCTCCTCCTAGTCCTCTCTCCTTCCCTACCACTCAACTTTTCCAAAAGTTCTTTCTTAAAAAACAAACAAAAACCCAACACAACCAAGTCCCTTCAAACCAAAAAAACACAATAAAATCACACCCTCTGTTTCGAGCTCTGGCTGTTATCTGTCACGAGCAGGTTGTGATAAGGTTTTAATATCCCCAAGGGAGAGAAGCAACAGGTCCTTCTCCACTCAGGGATCGTATGCTAGGTTGACCATGAGATTATCAGCTCCATGAGAGAGGGGAGAGAGTACACCAGAGACAGAAGTTTTGGCATTCAATTGCTCTTTAATGATACACAGCAGACAATATATTATCACTAATGCTAAGGCTATCACCACAATGAGGTATTGCCACATTTCCTATGCATTGCCTCTATCAATGTTGGCACAATGAACACAAATAATAAATTGCTAATTACCAAAGAAATAAGCATAGCAATAAATACATCATTCACTCATGGGTTATACGACCTGAGTCCTTATGATAGTCTAGGTTACAGGTCCGGAGTCCATGAAGGCGGGGTCAGGCTGGGGTTTCCAGCTAGTTGAATAGCAATTTGACATCATATGGTGCTTGACCACAAAGGTGGAGGCATTGCTCTCTCGGTTAACTCTTTGATGATCACGAGCTGAGGAGGCTTTGTTTGGAGGATCACGCTAGCCAGTCATGGCTACAAGTGTGTGATGAAATGCGCTGGTCGGGCTCCTCTTTTTATGTTTGATTTAACGTCTCTACTGATGTGCGTGGCTGATAACCACTCGTGTCTGGTTATTGCTGGGCCCTGACTTCATTACAGCTGGTTATCACAGCACAACTTCACTTCCAGACTTGTCTCTACAAGTACTTCACTTCCCGACTTGTCTCTACAAATTTCCTATTACTAAATGGAGTAGGTCCTGTTAAAGGCCTGCTCCTTACACTCTCAAAGAAAAAAGAGGCAAAACACAATACCAGCTATAACCAAATAAAAGTAGACACACAAAAACTTGTCGGATCCGTTCTATGTTGGGCTAATTAATCCTGAACATGAGACCTGTCCTGGAGTGGTTGATACACCCTATTTGAGAAAACTGATTTTCCCCTTCCAGTAAGTTTACTAGCCCGCAGGGGATGAGACCCTAGGGAAGGGGGCAAAAGAATGAAGGGACAAGAAACACAAAGGATGAGAAAAAGTCTGGGGTTCTGATCAAGCTCTGGAACTTTAATTTCAGGGACAGGTTATAAAGACACAGCAAAACGGGATATTTAGGCAAGGATCATTGCTTAAGGCTATCCCACTATTGAATCCTCATTGTCTAAGACAATCCCACTGTCATATCCTCATTGCCCAAGACCATCCCACTGTTGTAACCGGCTACCAGGAAATACCAGACGTTCTTTAAGTTCCTGGGACCTGAGACTCATGAATGTCCTTTCTTAACCTTGTACTGATTAGACTTTCCAGAACAGCAGGTAATTTCCTGGGTTTGGCTCCCGGCAGACAGTACAGTTGTTAACCTTTATCCTAGTATCTAGGTATTCATTCACTCATTCATTTAAAAAAATAAAATAAAATTTAAAATGAAACTAACACTATCACATCAAAGATGGACAAGACAAAGTAACAGAAGGAAAAGAGCCCAAGAGAAGGCATAAAAATCAGAGACCTACTATTTTCACACCCAGGGATCTAATAATAACATAAAATTAGAAACTGTAATATAAGCACAGAGGACCTGAGGCAGCCATGTACAGACCCTGTGCTTGCTGCTTCAGTCTCTATGAGTTCATATGAGCATCGCTCAGGTTGATTTAGAAGGCCTTGTTTTCTCGGTGTGCTCCATCTCTTCGGCTCTTACACTCTTTCTGCCTCCTCTTTCAAGGGATTCCCTAAACTCTGAGGGGAGGGATTTGATGGAGCTATCTCACTTAGGGCAGAGACCTAGTTCATTTTTATCTTTCAAATAATTACTTTTACTAGTTCTCTGGTAGAACGTGTTGTATTTTTCCTTAAGGGTAGCATTTTGTTTATAATTTAGGAAGGTCTTGTATCATTGTATTTCTTCTCCCAAATCAAGAACAAGCCTAAATCTAAGGGGCAACTTAGATTTAGGTGTTATTTCCTTAACCTTGAAGTGTTTCCAGGCCCATTCTTGTGCTTCATACATTTAATAGAGGAAATGAAATCATACATATTTATTGTCTTGTTTCATTATAAATGGGCTTTTTACCAATCAAGTTGTAAACACAGCTGTTGGTGTCTTGGTTTTCAGTTGAGACTCTTGAGTATACTCTTGTAGCTTTCTGAGTAATTTTGCTTCTTTTCCATTTTGACTTCTGATTTTTTCTTGTCTTGTTTTACTGGCTAGCATCTCCAGTAGATGCTCATTGACTAGAGCATGTTTTTGCATGTGGGTAGGTTTGTTACTAGTTTTGTGGTGATTTGACTAGGAATGGCCTTCATAGACTCATGTGTCTGAGTGCTTGGTTGATAGAGAGTGGCCCTATTAGAAGGTGTGGCCTTGTTGGAGGGAGTGTGTCACTGTAGGGGTGAACTTTGAGGTCTGCTATGCTCAAGCTATGCCCAGTGTGGCACAGTCTCCTCCTACTGCCTACAGATCAAGATGTAGAACCCTCAACTTCTCCAGCACTATGTCTGCCTGTGTGATGTCATGCATCTCACTATAATAATGGACTAAACCTTTGAAATTTTAAGCCTGCCCCAACATGTTTTCCTTTATAAGAGTTTCTGTGGTTGTGGTGTTTCTTCATAGTAGTGAAACTTTGACTGAGACAATTTTCCATGACCTCCAGTGGATGCTGAAAAAATGGACAATAATGGAACCTGTATAGGCTATGTTTTACTTATCCATGCAACTATGATGGTCAGTGTCTGTTTTATATCAATTCATTCCCAGCATCCGATCTAGTTTTAAGAAAAATGAAAGTTTCCTGAACATTAGCATTGAGATAGGACCACAGTTGACCTGAAGACTGGGAAGACCATGATGGAATCTAAGTGAGTACCATGACATATCCCATACAGGACAGGGTGCACTGTGAGCTTCTATCTGTGTTGTTAGAACAGTATATAGCTTAAATTATGTATTATTTCTAGAATTTTCTACTGGATAGTTTTGGACTGTGGCTGACTATACATACTAAAATTACAAAAACCAAAATGGCAATTAAGAAGATATTGTTTTTGGCCAAAATGGGATAAATTTTATTTTCAACCTCATTGAATGAATTTTGGAATTTGGAATAAAATGTATTTAAATTAATATTTTTTTTCTTCTGTGGTAGACTGCTTAATAAATACTTCACTGTGTTTTTATGGTAGAAATTCTTGGAGAATACTCAGAGAAATTCATAACTTTGGAATTATTCCTGTCTAAAGGAAATATAGGGATAAAGAGTGGAGCAGAGACTGAAGGAAAGGCCATCTAGAGACTGCTCCACCTAGGAATCCATCCAATCTGCAGACACCAAACACAGACACTATTGCTGATGCCAAGAAGCACTTGCTGACAGGAGCCTAGTATAGCTATTCTCTGAGAGGTTCTGCCAGCTCTGGGACCTCAATAGAAGAGTTAGGGGAATGACTGAAGGAGCTGAAGGAGTTTGTAACCCCATAGGAAGAACAACAATATCAACTCACTAGACCCTCCAGAGCTCTCAGGGACCAAACCACCAACCAAAGAGTACACATGGAGGGACCCATGGGTTCAGCTGCATATGTAGCAGAGGATGGCCTTATCTGGCATCAGTGGGAGCAGAGGCCCTTGGTCCACTATAGGCTTGATCCCCCAGCATAGGGGGATGCTAGGGCAGTGAGGTGGGAGAGGGTGGGTGGGTGAGCGAGGGAGTACCCTCATAGAGACAGTGGGGAGGGGTATGGGATAGGCAGTTTGCAGAGGGGTAACTGGCAAGGGGGACAACATTTGAAATGTAAATAAAGAAAATAACTGGTAAAAAAGAATTTTAATATTTTATTGAACATGATCTTTGGCATTTAAAAATTAAGCATGGGGCCAAGGATATATCTTAGTGACAGAATGCTTACCTAGTTTGATCCCTGTGTTTGAACGTTAGTACCAAACATAATAATAAATTAAACAATCAGTATTTAATTTCTACAACTGTTTTTTTTATATATAAAAACTGCCAGAAAGCTCTGGAATTTCCTTCAGAAGTGCTCTACATCAATCAAACACTTATCTAGAATCATGATGGGAAGAAGGGGATTCATCTTTCCTTGGCCACTGGGAACAGATGCAAGGGCATTCCATGGACACACAGGAGCATCTGGAGTGACTTCTGGAGTGATTCCTCCGGGAAGCTTCCAACACAAAGTCCAGGAGGGAGCACAAGAAGAAAAAGATGAGAACAGTGAGACTATCCAGTAACAACTTTTGAGTAGAATGATGGTATTTTCAGAGTTGAAGAGGAACTCTCAGCAATGGGACCAAACCTAGTCATTCCTTCAGAGAGCTGAAGGTTGCAGCAGAAATACACTTAGTGGAAGAGGAAGAAAATTGTCCCAGGTGCTGCCTTTTTAGATCCACAAAGTACATAAGCCAATTGTAGGTCAGTCCTGCTGGTATCTGTGCTCACTTGGGGTTTTGTCATACTTAGGGAGTTTCTTCATGGCTTGTTTCCACACCCTTTGCTTGTTCTTTGAACTCATCAGAACTAGAATTTCCAAGTTATTGCTATTCATGGGGACCACCAATAAGAGTTGTCAGATGTTAATATTGGCAGTTAATATTGTCAACTTGACAAGATCTGGAATTAGAAGACATAAGCCTCTTTGAACATCTGTGAGGGATTATCTGTATTAGGTTCACTGAGGTAGAAATAATTACAGTAAATGTGGGTGGCACCATCCCCTTGGCTGGGGTAGTATGTTGAATAAAAAGGAAAGAGTGATCTGAACACCAGGTTTCATTGTTCTTTATTTCCTGATTGCAGATGCAGTATGTCCAGTAGCTCCTTTGTCCTGCAGTTATGTCTTCCCTCTTGTAATGGAATGTATCCCTCCAAACTGTGAACTGAGACATTAAGTTCCTCCCTTGAGTTGCTTCTTGTTAGAGATTTTGTCATAGCATCAAGAAAGTCACTAATACAGCTGTCATGACCACCATATATGGAGTGCTTGCAGTTAGTTGGGCAGTTAGCCTGAGGCTGAAGTTTGTAGTTTTGGAATCTGTACTGATAGAGTGTGCCTGTGTGTGGCAAAGCACTTCTGGCTGCCCATCTTGAAATCCTGCCCTTCTGTGACTGGAGTCCACGTAATTGGGTTAGAACTTTGTTAACACATCTCTTGGCTCTTGTAGGTGTGGCTCATCAGGACTCTGGGTGGTAGCAAGGTTCTGTATTTCTTTTCGGCACTTAGCTGAATAGAGAATATATATGCTTCTCATTAGGAAGACCCCCGAAATGACAGCAAAGTAACTCCCATAAACTAAAAACTGGAAGAAAACAAACAATTAGCCACTCATAAAATCTGACTGCTTATGTTATTGGTAGTATATAATAATCTTCCTTGTTTTATTGGATTATGGGGTAGTTGAGATCCAGAACTAACTAAAGGTTATTTTGACTAGAAACTACCTTCTTATTTCTCACATAAACCAAGGTTAAAAATGTAAGCTATGGAGTAGTGACTAAGGGTCTGGTTTTGTAGCAGAATGCTTAGGTTCAGATCCTAGGTACTTCAGCAATGGTAGAGAGAAACCCCAGGAGATCTCAGGGTTCTGTCCACATGTCTATGCTTGAAGGCTGGTTCAATGTTATGTACCAGCATCTAATAATGACTTTTAAATGCATAGTTTTCCTCTTATCCACCTTCTTCAAGTAGATATAAATCTAGTTGCTATATATTTAATTGTGTTATAAATACAGGCTGCATACTTAAAATTGTTCATAATTGAAGAACAATTTAAAAAAAAGCCTTCAACATTGCTAGTTTTAAGATTAAGACATCTTTTTTTTTTATTTTATTTTTTTTTATTTTTTTTTATTTTTTTTTAATTTTTTTATTGGATGTTTTATTTACATTTCATATGTTGTCCCCTTACCCCATCCCCCACCCACCCAGGAACCCCCAATCCCCTCACACCTCCTCCTTCTTCTTTGTGGATGTAACCTCTATCTACCCCCCCACTCCCACCTCCCCACCCTCAAAACTCCCACCCCCTGGGGCGTCCAGCCTTCATGAGGTCAAGGATCTCATCTTCCACCTGTGCCCAGCAGGGCCCTCCACTCTTATATATTCAGCTAAGGCCCTGGATCCCTCCATAAGTGCTCCCAGGCTGGTGGTTTAGACCCTGGGAGCTGTGGTTGGTTGGTATTGTTGCTCTCCTCATGGGGCCACAAATCCTTTCAGCTCCTTCAGTCTTCACTCTAACTCCTCCATTGAGAACCCCATGATCACTTCAATGGCTAGTTGTGAGCATCTGCCTCTGAATATGTCAGACTCTTGAAGACCTCTGAGGAGACATCCATATCAGGCTCTTATCAGCATGCACTTCCTGACTTCCACATCAGCATCTACCTTTGGTGACTGCACATGGGATGGATACTCAGGTGGAAAGGTCTTCAGACGGCCCCTCCTTCAGTTTTTGTCCCTCGCTTTGTCTCCATATTTGCTCCCTTGAGTATTTTGTTGCTCCTTCTAAGAAGGACCGAATCACCCCCACTTGGTCTTCCTTCTTTATGGACTTCATGTGGCCTGTGAGTTGCATCTTGGGCATTTTAAGGTTCTGGGCTAATATCCAATAATCAGTGAGTGAATACCATGTGTGTTCTTTTGTGATTGGCTTACCTCACTCAGTATGATAATTTCTAGTTCCATCCATTTACCTAGGAACCTCTCAAATTCATTGTTTTTAATAGCTGAGTAATACTCCATTGTGTAAATATACCACATTTTTTTAATCCATTCCTCAGTTGAAGGACATCTGGGTTCTTTCCAGCTCCTGGCTATTATAAATAAGGCTGCTATGAACATAGTTGAGCATATGTCCTTATTATATGTTCGAGCACCTTCTGGGTATATGCCTAGGAGTGGTATAGCTGGATCCTCGGGTAATGCTATGTCCAATTTTCTGAGGAACCGCCACACTGATTTCCAAAGTGGTTGCACCATCTTGCAGTCCCACCAACAATGGAGGAGTGTTCCTCTTTCTCCACACCCTCGCCAGCATCTACTATCACCTGAGTTTTTAATCTTAGCCATTCTGACTGGTGTGAGATGGAATCTCAGGGTTGTTTTGATTTGCATTTCCCTGATGACTAAGGATGCCGAGCATTTCTTTAGGTGCTTCTCGGCCATTCGAGTTTCTTCTGTTGAAAATTCTTTGTTAAGCTCTATACCCCATTTTTTAATAGGGTAATTTGGTTGCCTGGAGTCTAATTTCTTGAGTTCTTTGTATATATTGGATATTAGCCCTCTATCAGATGAAGGATTGGTAAAGATCTTTTCCCAATTTGTTGGTTGTCGTTTTGTCCTATTGACAGTGTCCTTTGCCTTACAGAAACTTTGCAATTTTATGAAGTCCCATTTGTCAATTCTCGATCTTAGAGCATATGCCATTGGAGTTCTGTTCAGGAACTTTTCCCCTGTGCCCAAGTATCCGAGGCTTTTCCCCACCTTCTCTTCTATTAGTTTCAGTGTATCTGGTTTTATGTGGAGGTCCTTTATCCACTTAGATTTGAGCTTTGTACAAGGGGATAAGAATGGATCAATTTTCATTCTTCTACATGTTGTCCTCCAGTTGAACCAGCACCATTTGTTGAAAATACTGTCCTTTTTCCACTGGACAGTTTTAGCTCCTTTGTCAAAGATCAAGTGACCATAGGAGTGTGGGTTCATTTCTGGGTCTTCAATTCTATTCCATTGATCTTCCTGCCTGTCTCTGTACCAATACCAGGTAGTTTTTTATCACTATTGCTCTGTAGTACAGCTTGAGGTCAGGGATGGTGATTCCTCCCGAAGTTCTTTTATTGTTGAGAATAGTTTTCGCTATCCTAGGTTTTTTGTTATTCCTTATGAATTTGAGAATTTCCTTTTCTAACTCTGTGAAGAATTGAGTTGGGATTTTAATGGGGATTGCATTGAATCTGTAGATTGCTTTTGGCAAGATGGCCATTTTTATTATATTAATCCTGCCAATCCATGAGCATGGGAGATCTTTCCATCTTCTGAGATCTTCTTCAATTTCTTTCTTCAGAGACTTGAAGTTCTTGTCATACAGGTCTTTCACTTGCTTGGTTAGATTCACACCAAGGTATTTTATATTATTTGCAACTATTGTGAAGGGTGTCATTTCCCTAATTTCTTTTTCAGTCTGTTTATCTTTCATGTAGAGGAAGGCTACTGATTTGTTTGAGTTGATTTTATAACCAGCCACTTTGCTGAAGTTGTTTATCAGGTTTAGGAGTTCTCTGGTGGAAGTTTGGGGGTCACTTAAGTATACTATCATATCATTTGCAAATAGCGATATTTTGACTTCTTCCTTTCCTATTTGTATCCCTTTGACTTCTTTTTGTTGTCTAATTGCTCTGGCTAAGACTTCCAGTACTATATTGAATAGGTAGGGGGAGAGTGGGCAGCCTTGTCTAGTCCCTGATCTTAGTGGGATTGCTTCAAGTTTCTCTCCATTTAGCTTGATGTTGGCTACTGGTTTGCTGTAAATTGCTTTTACTATGTTTAGGTAGGGGCCTTGAATTCCTGATCTTTCCAAGACTTTTATCATGAAGGGATGTTGAATTTTGTCAAATGCTTTCTCAGCACCTAGTGAGATAATCATATGGTTTTTTTCTTTAAGTTTGTTTATATAGTGGATTACATTGATGGATTTCCGAATATTGAACCATCCCTGCATTCCTGGGATAAAACCTACTTGATCATGATGGATGATTGTTTTGATGTGGTCTTGGATTCGGTTTGCTAGAATTTTATTGAGTATTTTTGCATCGATGTTCATAAGGGAGATTGGTCTGAAGTTCTCTTTCTTTGTTGGGTCCTTGTGGGGTTTGGGAATGAGTGTAATTGTAGCTTCATAGAACGAATTGGGTAGTGTTCCTTCTGTCTCTATTTTGTGGAATAGTTTGAAGAGAATTGGAATTAGGTCTTCCTTGAAGGTCTGATAGAATTCAACACTAAAACCATCTGGTCCTGGGCTTTTTTTAGTGGGGAGACTTTTAATGACTGCTGCTATTTCCTGAGGGGTTATGGGACTATTTAGATGGTTTATCTGCTCCTGGTTTAATTTTGGTACCTGGTATCTGTCTAGGAAATTGTCCATTTCATCCAGGTTTTCCAGTTTTGTTGAGTATAGGCCTTTGTAGTAGGATCTGATGATTTTTTTAATTTCTTCCGTTTCTGTTGTTATGTCTCCCTTTTCAGTTCTGATTTTATTAATTTGGATACTCTCTCTGTGCCCTCTGGTTAATCTGGCTAACGGTTTATCTATCTTGTTGATTTTCTCAAAGAACCAACTCCTGGTTTTATTGATATTTTGTATTGTTCTTTCAGTTTCTATTTGGTTGATTTCAGCCCTGAGTTTGATTATTTCCTGCCTTCTACTCCTCCTGGGTGTATTTGCTTCTTTTTGTTCTAGGGCTTTTAGTTGTGCAGTCAACTTGTTAGTGTGTGCTCTTTCCAGTTTCTTTTTGTAGGCACTTAGAGCTATGAGTTTTCCTCTAAGCACTGCCTTCATGGAGTCCCACAAGTTTTGGTATGATGTGTCCTCATTTTCATTGAAATCTAAAAAGTCTTTAATTTCTTTCTTTATTTCTTCCTTGACCAAGTCATCATTGAGTAGAGAGTTGTTCAGTTTCCATGTGCACATGGGTTTTCCATTGGTTTTGTCATTATTAAAGACCAGTCTTATTCCATGGTGATCTGATAAGAGGCAAGGGATTATTTCAATCTTTTTGTATCTGTAGAGGCTTGTTTTGTGACCAATTATATGGTCTATTTTGGAGAAGGTACCATGAGGTGCTGAGAAAAAGGTATATTCTTTTGTTTTAGGATGAAATGTTCTATAGATGTCTGTTAAGTCCATTCGGTTCATAACTTCTGTTAATGTCAAAGTGTCTCGGTTTAGTTTCTGTTTCCATGATCTGTCCATTGCTGAGAGTGGGGTGTTGAAATCCCCCACTATTATTGTGTGAGGTGTAATGTGTGTTTTGAGCTTTAGTAAAGTTTCTTTTATGTATGTAGGTGCCCTTGCATTTGGGGCATAGATGTTCAGAATTGAGAGTTCACCTTGGTAGCTTTTTCCTTTGATGAGTATGAAGTGTCCTTCCTTATCTTTTTTGATTAATTTTGGATGGAAGTCGATTTTATTTGATATTAGAATGGCTACTCCAGCTTGTTTCTTGGGACCATTGGCTTGGAAAATTGTTTTCCATCCTTTTATTCTGAGGTAGTGTCTGTCTTTGTCACTGAGGTGTGTTTCTTGTATGCAGCAAAATTCTGGGTCTTGTTTGTTTATCCAGTCTGCTAGTCTGCGTCTTTTTATTGGGGAATTGAGACCATTGATGTTAAGAGATATTAAGAAAAAATGATTGTGGCTTCCTGTTATTTTTGTTATTAGAGGTAAAGTTATGTTTGTATAGTTATCTTCTTTTGGGGTTGTTGGAAGATTACTTCCTTGCTTTTTCTAGGTTGTAGTTTCCCTCCTTGTGTTGGCGTTTTCCATCCATTATCCTTTGAAGTGCTGGGTTTGTGGGAAGATATTGTGCAAATTTGGTTTTGTCATGGAATATCTTGGTTTCACCATCTATATTGATTGAGAGTTTTGCTGGGTATAGTAATCTGGGCTGGCAATTGTGTTCTCTTAGGGTCTGTATGATGTCCGTCCAGGCTCTTCTGGCTTTTATAGTCTCTGGTGAGAAGTCTGGTGTAATTCTTATAGGTCTGCCTTTATATGTTACTTGACCTTTTTCCCTTACTGCTTTTAGTATTTTTTCTTTGTTTTGTGCATCTGATGTTTTGATTATTATGTGACGGGAGGTATTTCTTTTCTGGTCTAGTCTATTTGGTGTTCTGTAGGCTTCTTGTATGTTTATGGGCATCTTGTTCTTTAGGTTAGGGAAATTTTCCTCAATGATTTTGTTGAAGATATTTACTGGCCCTTTAAGTTGGGAATCTTCATTCTCATCTATACCTATTATCCTTAGGTTTGGTCTTCTCATTGTGTCCTGAATTTCCTGGATGTTTTGAGTTAGGAATTTTTTGCTTTTTTCATTTTCTTTGACAACTGTGTCAATATTTTCCACCGTATCTTCTGCATTTGAGATTCTCGCTTCTATCTCTTGTATTCGGTTGGTGATGCTTGCGTCTGTGACTCCTGATCTCTTTCTTAGGTTTTCTATCTCCATGGTTGTCTCCCTTTGAACTTTCTTTATTGTTTCTATTTCCAGTTTCAGATCCTGAATGTTTTTGTTTAATTCCTTCTTTGTGTTTTCTTCCATTTCTTTAAGGGATTTCTGTGATTCCTCTTTAAGGGCTTCTATCTGTTTACTTGTACTCTCCTGTATTTCTTTAAGGGAGTTACTTAATTCCTTCTTATAATCCTCTATCATCATCATGAGAAGTGATTTTAATTCTGAATCCTGCTTTTCAGGTGTGAAGGGGTGTTCAGGGCTTGCTATATTGGGAGAACTGGGCACTGATGATGCCAAGAAACTTTGGTTTCTGTTGCTTATGTTCTTGCGCTTGCCTTTCGCCATCTGGGTAACTCTAGTGGTACCTGCCCTCTCTGTGTAAGATTGGAATCTGTATTTCCAGTTATCTTGCTTATTGCAGAGCTCCTCGGAGTCCAGAGGTCTCTGTGGTCTTATGCCCCTAATCTCCCGGGTGGAAGAACTCCTGGGACTCAGGCCACCTCTTGGATCTGGTAATCCTTCTGTTCTGAGTGCAGTGGCTCCTCGGCTGCTCTGAGTGCAGTGGGTTCTCGATGACTCAGGATTCAGTTTCAGCTGCTCTGAGTGCAGTGGCTCCTAGATGACTCAGGATTCAGTTTCTCCACAGGACAGGAGCAGACCAACTCTGTGTCAGCTGCTCTGAGTGCAGTGGCTCCAGCTGCTCTGAGTGCAGTGGGTCCCTGATGACTCAGAATTCAGTTTCAGCTGCTCTGAGTGTAGTGACTTCTCGATGACTCAGGATTCAGTTTCTCCACAGGACAGGAGCAGACCTACTCTGTGTCTGCTCCAGTCCCAGGGACCAGGCAGGGGCCGAAGGGAAGTGGAATTCCGGAGGGGCAGGGTTTGGGTAGCTGCTGTGCCCTAGATGTCCCTGGCTCCCAGATGTATTTCTGGGGCTTAGGGAGTGAGATGGAGTTCTTACCAGCTGCTCTGA